TTTTTCTTTTTAATGAGATCATTGGGCATTTGGGACTGCTGGAGCTACCTTTAAAAGGAAGAAGATTCACCTGGTCTAATATGCAGGATTTCCCACTTCTTGAACAGTTGGACTGGTTTTTCACCTCTGCCAGTTGGATTGATCAATATCCAAACACGCAGGTCAACCCTTTAGCCAAAACTGCATCGGATCATGTCCCTTGAGTGGTTTCCATAAGCACCAGAATCCCGAAAGCTCATATTTTCAGATTTGAAAATTATTGGATCCATCAACCTAGTTTTATGGAGTGTGTTCAACAAGTCTGGCAAAGGCAGTCTCAGAAATCCCACATATCAGCAGTTATTATGGATAAACTGAAATCTTTGAGATTTGCTCTCAAGAAATGGCAGAAGGGTTTATCTCATATTAAAGGTCTTATTGAGAAATGTAACTGGGTGATTTTGTGGCTGGATGATTTGGAAGACTGCATGCCTTTATTTTTGCCTGAATCCAATTTCAGAAAATTGGTGAAATCACATCATGATCACCTGCTACATCTGCAGTTCTTATATTGGAAGAAGAGATGCACTATTAGATATATTAAGGTGGGTGAGGAAAACTCAAAATTCTTCCAGGCAATGGCAACTGAAAGATATAGGAAAAATTCTATTGCCACTCTGCAGTTGTCAGATGGATCAGTGTCTTCTGATCATAACACTATTGCCAAGGAATTTCTGGAGATTTTCAAAGGAAGAATGGGTACTGTCAAACCAATTTACATGGGAAATGACATTCTTTCTTTAATCCCTAGGGTACAGGGACTGGATGTTCTCACCAAGCCTTTTGAGGTCAAGGAGATTGAGCAGGTTATCAAGGAGTTGCCAATTGACAAGGCTCCAGGGCCTGATGGTTTTAATGGACTTTTTATGAAAAAATGTTGGCCAATCATTTCTGGTGACTTTATCTCCCTGGTTAATGAGTTTCATGCAGGAACTGTTAAACTAGAGAATCTCAGTGAGGCATATATCACTCTGATCCCCAAAAAGCTGTCACCTGAGACTGCCAGTGACTTTAGGCCAATAACATTGACAAGTGTGGGGTTGAAGTTCCTTACTAAACTTGCTGCAAATAGATTTCAAGAAGAAATAACTAAATGTGTTCACAAGAATCAGTATGGTTTTATCAAGTCTAGATCCATTCAGGATTGTATTGCATGGACTTTTGAGTACATTCATCAGTGCAATCAATCAAAAAGGCCAATCATGTTGCTTAAGTTGGATTTTGAAAAAGCATTTGATTCCATACAGCATGAGGCAATTATAAAAATAATGGTGGCAAAGGGATTTGATAATAGATGGATTTCTTGGATACAACAATTGTTGTCCTCTGCAACCTCATCAATCCTGCTTAATGGGGTTCCAGGTAGTCATTTCAAGTGTAAATGTGGGGTAAAGCAGGGTGATCCTATCTCACCTTTGCTCTTTGTGCTTGCTACTGACCTTCTGCAGACTATGATTAATGATCAACTCAGCAAGGGACTCCTTTCCTTACCCCTAGTAACTCATGATCCTGACTACCCAGTGGTACAATATGCTGACGATACATTATTGTTTGTGGCTGCTGAGTCTGCTCAGTTAGAGATGCTAAAAGCTACTCTACACTCCTTTTCTCTGGCAACTGGTTTGAAGATTAATTACCACAAATCTTCAATGTACCCAATTAATGTGGATACCAATTATGCCAATGTTCTTGCCGCTCAATTTGGATGTCAACTGGGGGTGATGCCTTTCACATACCTGGGGTTGCCAGTGGGAACCACTAGGCCCAAAATTGTGGACCTTTTGCCACTTGTGGACTGCATGGAAAGAAGGTTGACTGCTAGCTCTTGGTTTCTACCACAAGGTAGCAGACTGCAGTTGGTCAATTCTGTTATTTCCTCATTGCCAATATTCTTCCTCTGTATCTTATCTATTCCACAAGGGATTTTGAAACAACTGGAAAGAATACAAAGACAGTGTCTTTGGAGAAAATATGGCCAGGAAAAGGGGAACTCTTTAGCAGCCTGGCCTCTGGTATGTAGACCTAAATTAAAGGGTGGGCTTGGCATCCTGAACCTGGGGCTGCAGAATGAAGCTTTGTTAATGAAGTTCCTCAATAAATTCTATAACAAAGTTGATGTTCCATGGGTTCATTTGATCTGGGACGGTTATTATTATCAGAGAGTCCCACATGACACTGCTATGTGTGGCTCTTTTTGGTGGAGGGACATATGTAAGCTAATGGATACATTCAGGGCTGTCTCTTCAGTATGCGTGGGAAAAGGTGACTCCTTGCTATTCTGGTCAGATTCCTGGGAAGTGGATAATTCTTGCATTCCACTACAGGATAGATTCCCCAGGCTGTTCTCATTTTGCATACAAAAAAATTATTCTGTTCTGGAAGTAATGGCCTCTGGTGAGTTTCATAGCATGTTCTCTCTGCCATTATCTGAAATGGCCTACAGGGAGCTAAACCAACTTTCTGGAATATTGTCTGATATCTCCTTGGATGATAATGCTAAGGATTGCTGGTATTGGAAACATGGAAAGAAGTCTGGATACACAGCCAAGAAATATTATGATCTGGTCCATGAGCCAATTCCAACTAACCCCTTGCTATGTTGGATATGGAAGTCATGTTGTACTATGACAATCAAAATGTTTGCCTGGCTTGTCATTATGGATAGAGTAAACACCAAGGATATGATTCAGCGCAGGAAGTGGAAGATCAATGATGGGCCTGAATGTGTGCTTTGCCCTATAGGAGCTCTTGAAGACAGGAATCATCTGTTTTTTCAGTGTAACTTCAGCATGAGAGTTTGGAATTACCTGCAGATTTCATGGCCCAACAATCAGGATATGGTTCAGATTGCATGCCATGCTAGGAAGGATTTCAATAAGCCTTTCTTTTCTGAAGTGGTGTTTCTCACTTGGTGGAATATTTGGAAAGTCAGAAATGATAAAGCGTTCAAGTGTATCAGACCTACCTTCAGACAGTGGAGAAATGGTTTTGTCCATGACATTTCCCTTTTGGCTCACAGAATCAAGTCAAAACACAGGGAGGCACTGCTTAAATGGATTGATTTCCTTCCTCCTTGAGAGGTGACATGTATAGTTACATTTTCCTTCTCTTGTAGTTTAGATTGTACATAATCTTCTTTTACCTTCTTCTGTTTTGTTCCTTTTCTTTAGGAACCTTTATATGTACTTGTTGTTCTTGTTTTTAATAAAATGCTGTGGGGTGTAAGCCCTGCAGTCTCCAGTCAAAAAAAAATAAAGTGACATAAATGACCATTAAGTCTACAGAGTAAACGCCCGACTGTTGCTGTTTAGAGTGGCTTCCGATCTTCTGTTTGTCGAGTGATCATTGCTATGGTCAAGTGACATAGAGTCTTCCGAGTGGAACGTTTCTAGTTGAGTGGATGATGGTATGTATCCCTTGAATGATTCTGACTTTAGGGTGATGTCCTAGGGGAGGGTGTCTAGGTCAGGCGTATGACCCTACTCTAGGTACATAGCTTCGTCAGTAATAACTAAGACCAGTTGGTTTCTCTTAATGGAAATCGGAGGGGTGACCCTTGTTAAAAAAATCCTTTTCCAGCCATATAAAAAAATTATAAGTATATAGCCCGCAAAAAAAAGTATATACACATCCATGTCAAAAGAAAATTTAGAAATATTTGGTTCTTCAAAAATCCGGCCCACTAGAGCCTGGGATCCAAAAGTTTTTTCAAAGTAAAGTATAAGTTTCTCTTCTAGATTTTCGACTACTATTTTTTGTGCTAGAGCGAGTAATTCCAGCTCTACATGAGATGAAAACAAAGTGAATACTCCCTCCGTCTAAAAATATTTGTCATCAAAATAGACAGAAAAATGTATCTAGAATTAAAATACATCTTCTTTTATCCATTTTAATGACAAGTATTTTCAGACGGAGGGAGTAGTAATTAGTAAATGTGGCAACAGCAAGAAGCACGGTGGATATCTGAGTCACATGACACTCACAGAATACACACAGAAAATGGCCTAGGGATGGGTCCAAACCCTGCTCCTGCCAGCTGATAACCCATCTTTGCCTGCACTCTGCAGGTGCAGGTGAGCAGATGACAGCCACATTTTGCAGATACAACCTCATCAAAGCCACAAGTTCGGCAGCTCAGCCTCCTCGTGCTTACAAGAAAAGTCAGGCTGAGATCAAAATTCAACATGTCTACGCTATACATCTTGACAACTTTGAGCATATTTACAAAGGGTCCAGATTGTCTGCATGACCCTACTAGGATGGCGGGCTAGCACCCAAGATTTGACTGAACAAATGTCAATCTTCTGCATTTGTGCAAGCTCCTTCCTATATGGTGCAGTAAAAAGGAAGAAAAAAACAGCAAGCACCTACAACTTGAACTTGCAGCAGATGCACCAAGACACCAACCAATATACAGAAACTGAACACTGAAACTACATACGCGCGTTTTGGTCATGATATATGTTGCCAATTCCATGTAGTTCAAAAGCATGCACAAGTTCAAAATTGCTGGAGGGAAGCAATGGATTATTCAGGTACATGCTGAAGGAACAATATTTGCTTCTACCTGTACTAATGTTAGCATGTGTGTATATGACCTTGAGGCTGCAGTCCAAAAGGAGAGCGACGTTGTATACAAGAGCAGTGGTCAAGATCCGGTACATCTATCTTCTTGACGCCTGGAAGAAGGTATGTCCTACAAAACTTTCTTCTCTTGAGAATTGCAACAGCTGTTATGGCCTTCCTAATCCTAGCTTGCTAATACAAAAGGCTACTGCTAGAAAACTACATGATGCTTGCATCTTTATGAACAGCTGCATGATGCTTCTATCCTTATGGACAAGACAACTAGCCCTCCTGTGAAAAGGAAAACAAGATAAAAATTCCTTTTTGATCTTAGAAAACAAAAAGAGCATGATCAACCCCAATGTTGAACGATGAACATGATGGCAAAAATACTGCTATACTCTTCCCATGGGTGAGAACGGAGGGCCATTGACCACCGGAGTTTTTCCTTTCCTCCTCTTCACTTTCTTCTTCTCTTTTCCTGTTACTGATCCTATTAACTGCTTCACTTCTTCTTTGAGGAGCATTTTCATTGAACTGGAATACAGCTTGTGCTTGAATTTCTCTATACCAATGGTTGGAGAAGCTTCAGAACAGTGAAGCAAAGATATGCAGACTGAGAATGCCTGCAGCGCCGACAATCGTGCATGGAAATCCACTGAGAACTCTCCTTTCCCATCGACTTTCATGGAAAGGGCAGGGAGAACTTCCTGGTTACCCTGCTTCAACAGTTGGAGTACACAAATGAAATACTACATTTAGTTGAATATGATGTTAACTAGTGCATCTGTCAAAAAGAAGTTTTAACTAGTGCATTGTTGTTGAAATCATAGTTTTTAAGGCGGTAAGGCGACCTAAGGCGCTGGGGGGGCGCCTTATCGCCTAGGCGACGCCTAAGCGCCTAAGGCGGACGCCTAAGCGCCTAAGGCGGGCATATTTGTAAGGCGCTGGGGGGCGCCTTATCGCCTAAGCGTCGCCTAAGCGTCCAAGGCGGGACGCCTTAAAAACAATGGTTGAAATACTAGCGCCTCTTTGATTCATAGGATTCTAAAAGCGTGGGAATAGGAAAAACATAGAATTGAAATACTAGGGCCTACAGGATTTTGTTTGTTTGATTGCATCATAGGAAAAACAAAGGATTCTTTTGAAGAGGTTTGAGTGGATGCTAGAAATCCTATGGGAAGTAGTACAAAGAAATCGTTAGGAAAAACTCCTGTGGGATTCAATCCTACGAATCAAATAACTAATATAGGAAAAATTCCTAAGGATTCTAATCCTCCAAAGTTTCTACGAAAATCCTTTAAATCAAAAGAGCCCTACATTTAGTTGAAATGCATTGTTGTTTGCTTCAACAGCTGAATTACACAAATGAAATATTACATTTAGTTGAATATAATGTTAACTAGTGCATTCGTCAAAAAGAAGTTTTAATTAGTGCAACTGTTAATTAGCGCAAGTATAACTAAAACGGGGATATAGCTTTTAAGTGGGAAACAAGCAACAGTGCATTTCAATTATCATATAGGAAAATTTCTTTTGATCTGCTAATGAAGTTGGGGGGAATCATATTTTGAACCAATTTAATTATTACTCACTGTGAGTAAATGCAGACAGGTGGTAATAATCAAACACGAGATGTGTCTCAACATACAAAATATACCTTAACAAATAGCTCCATGGGATGCTTGCTTTCATTCATCACAGAATCGACCCAATAACTATCATATGCATTTTCAAGGACAACGATTGGGCAAGACATGTCCCATCCACCGCAGTCACACCTTCCCCCACTCTTTAGACGGTTAAGTAACGGTGATGGACTGGTCTCATCATCCCTTGGTAACCCGTGTGCTCCGCCTGCTGTAACCACTTTAACTGTACCTGGTGATGATCCAGTTTTCAATTCGAGGGACCGGGTTTGATGAAACGGCACTTGGACTACAACAGCTGCAACCTCCAAATGAGGATGAAGATCTTCTTGGGACCAAAGACAAGATACCGATGCATCTGAGTTATTCCTTGCAGTATTTTGCCGCTCCATCTGATTATTTCTCTCTAGAGACTCCCTAGAGATTGAATTCTTAACAACATTGCAGAATGGTGGTTGAGTGGAATCTGGACGCTGAACTCTATCAACAGCAGAGCTCCGTCGTGCATGAGCAATGTCATACAAAACAAACTCGCTAGTGGCTGAGTTATTTAAAATACCATCTTCTTCAACTTCAGAGTACAGATAGGAAGACACATGCATCTGGCCAACAATTGGAGGCAGCCACCCATGCCTATCCTTGGAGGTCCTTCCCACGGTACTTGATCGCTTGCCAACACTATGGAAAGTGTAAATCCAATTCAGTTCGTTCCCGGATTTCCAAGTGCTAGCGTAAATGGATTCTTCTGGACCCTTGGTACAGAACTCAAAACCAAAAGCGCCATTGTCATGATCCAGTTTAAGAACAGCATGCAAATGAGTCGGCGATGAAGTAACTGTGATAGGCCGGGCTTCCCCACTCATCTGGCATTTAGGTGTGGGAGTTTGGTCAGATCTTGAGATACCACTCAACAAAGATTTGCGCAGTGCACTATCTTTTCCTCTAACTGGTGGATTACCACATTTTGCATCTTCCATTACCATGTGGGAGGGATTCCTCAGAGATTTGGACTTCATGAAAGGATCCAAAATTTTCTTAAACGCACTAGATCGAGCTTTTTTGTTGCCATCGACACCATGAACACTTTCTGATGGACATGTAGCATCAAAAACGCCCACCTTAGCTGACAAGGACTTGGGGAGATTACTCACTGAATCTATTGTGCCATGGTTACTCCTATCAGGATGAAGGCCAACAGGAGGTTGGCAATTTGACATTGTACCTTTGCTACTGCTGCTTTCTAGCAAATGAGGAGCAGCACTTGCGGCAGGACACGTGGCATTGTCTTCTTTGAGCGATAACCCCGGGAACCTGTCTCTTACATCATCCTTTAACAAATTGCAGTCCTTGCGTGGCCTTCCAAGCCTCAAGTTGTCACTGGGAACCTCACGCGATGAAATATCCACAAGCTCCCTGGCATCTTGATTAAATCCACGAGTTATGTTCATAGAAGACCTCAACTTGCATGAACCGCTCCGTTGCGGAACCAAGTAAGCTCCACTTGTGCTAGGCTGAGAGGACGAATCGACGGTCCCAAATGACATAAACGCATCTCTTTCATGTATAGAGTCTAATTTCCTCCTCCCCTCTTGGAGTTTCCTTAGTCTGCTGACATCACTGGAGCTCTGGTACATAGAACCACGACTATGAATGATGCTATCTTCTGGGTTCTCCTCACGGCGTCTTGAAGGCAGACTCTTGCAATGAAAATTTGGGAACCGGTTGAGGTGCATTTCGCCTGAGTTTCTATCCGGGCATTTCAGTTGTGCTGCCCTGCTAGGACTCTCTGTTTCCTCATCAATTGGTTCCATGGTTTCCTTAGCTACACTGGGCCGAGAACGGTTCCCCATGTAGGAAACCTGCATTAAAACCATAATACAGTGCTCGCATCAGAAGAGAGAAAAGATGACAGTAGCATCAGCTTTTATCCAAAAAAAAAACATAACCATAGTTTGTATCAGGTTTGGCAGAGGGAACCATTTTACAAGCTTAAAACTACGCCCATCCTATGCATCAAATCCGTCCAAGAAAAATAGGTCATATCCATTTCCAAAAGAAGGAAGAGTTTCCATTCGTTCACATACTACTTCAATACCTAGGTTTCAAGAGGAACAGCACAACACTAAAATAACAAAAAACAAATCTAAATCTACTCTCGGATCACACAGCACATTATCACTGAATCAGCTAAACCATTCGAGGAAAGGATGAACCCTCGCAGATGGGAATCGAATCCCAGGACGAGGTCAGCAGAAAAGGAACCCCTCTCCTCCCATCTGCACCAAATCCGAGCCGCACTTCTTGAAGAAACGCATCGGCAAACCTGCTCGCCATTAGTTCCTCCTAAAAAGTCCAACCTTGCGGCCAAGTCCCGCAGCCCAAATCTACAGCCAGCCGCCGCCGCGGCCGCAAGCGTCGCAGAGGACCGCCGTATGAATCAACCGGAAAGGGATCGAGAAATGCCATTACTCACCTTGGAGCGGAGCCGACGGGGAGCAGACCGGCGCGGCAGAAGAGGCAGTGGACTTTACTGGTCCGTCAGTCCTCGCGCATCTGTCTCGTGTGAGTGAGGGAAATATTCTTGGCGGCTCACGAAAATGAAACGGAGATTCCCAAATCTTATTTTGCGCCTTCGCCGCTAGGGACGATTGTGAAATAGATAGAGGTAGGGGGACTAGAGCGTAAAGAGCGATCCGCGGCGGAGCTTCGGCGTTCTGGGCTGCTCCGCTGGGCCGGTGGCACACATCTTGTAGGCCTGTGTCAGACCAGCCCGAGGTCTCTGTGGCGGCAAAAGGTCCATGTACCATCTCTTCTATCTACTCCCTCCGTCTCAAAATAAATGTCTCGACTTTAATGCAACTTGTTCTCAAGAAAAAAATAATACAACTTTGTAAGACGAAGAGAGTGTATACAATAAGTGTTTCGACTTTAATATTAAATTTGATATAAAGTTGAGACACTTATTTTAAGAGGAAGAGAATGTATACAAACATAAATGTTGCTAAAATAAATACCAATATAAAATTTCTCAAAAAACTATATACCAATATAAGTAAAACAAGTTACGGAGATTCAACAAATCTCATCCAAATCTAAAAAAAAAACAGATCTCATAGTATCTATCCAATAGTCTATGTTGCTCCAGTGTTTAGCGTTACTCCTGTTTTGCACAAAACACATTTAGCACCCTTAATGATTAATATTCTCTGTATTTTTTAATAATAAGTACTTAAAAAAGAATAGCGTTCCTTTTTTTCCAGACGGAGTGTTTCGTCCAACCTTTCATCCTTTTTCTGAGCATCATTTCATAAAAATCATCGTAATTGTCACATATTTACCTGACTTGCCAAATAAACTTGTCTTTTCTTTGGAAGCCAATAAATGATTGCAAAAAAATCATAAAATATATTTAGATAAGTATAACATGGAGAGAATTTTGGCAAACATTTATTTACACAATCACATTAATATGTGCAGATAAATTGCGGGATAACGTACTAAAATATTTATATCGCGATGAAACGCATGCAATTATCATCATATCTAATACCAACATCAACATTAGCCAAAGAATTATACCCTAACTACTATTGATTTCCTGATACCGCTTATTGTGAAGGATATGACTATTAGTTAAATAAAGTCACCGAAGTTCAAAAATATTACTTCCTTCATCCTAATTTTTTTGTCTTAGATTAGTATCTAGACAAATCTAAGACAAGAGTTTATTTTGGGATGGAGAGAGTAGTTTATATCTTGCCTAATATTATACTCCCTTCGTTCCTAAATATAACTCTTTTTAGAGATTTCATTACAAACTACATACGGATGTATATAGACATATTTTCGAGTGTAGATTCACTCATTTTGCTTTGTATGTAGTCATAATAAAATCTCTAAAAACATTTATATTTAGAGACAGAGGTAGTAATAAATATAATTAATATCTTGTCTAATATTAACGGACATTGCACGCACACAATTGATAGGAAAATCAACCATTCCACCCCGACGAACGCCGATGAGATCATCCGCACCCATCGTCATCTGGTGCATTCTGGCCGTCGCCGTTGCCATCTCGCCATCCAACCTCTACATATACAGACACGGTGACATGCACAGCGCACACGAAGCCATCATAAAGCATCTAATCTCTCCTCCCCTAATTTTAAATGGGGGGTGAAGGATGCTTTGTGATTTGTGAATGACACATGTCATCCATCAGGATGGGTCTCGCGTGAAACCTGGTCTCATGGAATTATTTTGCACATCCCTGGACTGGCTGGAGGCGCCAGACACGGACAGTCCAGGTCCCGCAAGTTTCTTCCTCCTACCGCGCCTCCTCTCCCCCCGTCCTTGATATCTCTTCCCAGTGCGTGCCGTGCCGCGGTCGACCAACATGGACCGGCGGCGGCTCTGGACGTGGGCAGCTGCCGTCGTCGTCGCTGCTGCTGCTGCGGCTGCGGCGGCGGCGGGCCATGAGAAGAGGCTGGTGGTGGGCATGACTCTCGTCCCGGGCGCCGCGTCCACGGGGGCAGGCAAGTCCGCGACGCCTTTAATCAATCCTCTTTTCTTTCCCCTGCGTTCATCCGGCCGCACATTGCCCTGCTCTGCCTAAAAGCATACGGGGATGCCAACTAATGGTGCGCGTGTGAACTGCCGTTCGATTGCAGTGTGCCTCGACGGGAGCCCGCCGGCGTACCACCTCCACCGCGGCTCCGGCGCGGGCGCCCGCGGCTGGCTGCTCCAGTTCGAGGGCGGCGGCTGGTGCAACGACGCGCCGTCCTGCGCCGCACGAGCCGGCACGCGGCGAGGCTCCACCCGGCTCATGAGCAAGCTCGAGGTCTTCTCCGGCGTGCTCAGCAACGATCCGGCCAGGAACCCAGGTACCGCAATCGTCTTGCTGGTTCTCTTCAGTTACAGCTCCCTTTCAGTTTCTTCAGCAGAAACGCGCTGTTTCATAATACTTTTTGCAAGCAACGAACACGGGTTTGATTAATTGGAGAGACATTTTCCCCGTGCATTCTTTGATTTCCTCGTACGTACGTACGTACCTTTTACGCCAAGTCGTCGATGATGATCAGCACAGCAGAGCACATGCATGTCTCCGTTCATGCATGGTGATGGTGGTACTGTCTTGTGCTTTTGCAAAAAGGTTGCGGCCAGTCAACAATCACCATAATCCGGTAGGTAGCGCCAACAGTTTCGCTTTAACACATCCAGGCCCATGGCGAATTCAAGCTCATGGTCCTACAAGGGTGATGATGAACCCCACATCTGCATCAGGCCACTGCCACAACTTCTGGTCAAAGGAATTCAGAGTTTCAGATCAGTTCTCGTCACTACTAAAGAATTTTCTTTTTGACAATTCGAGCAGATTTTTACAACTGGAATCGGGTGAAGCTGCGGTACTGCGACGGCGGATCCTTCGCGGGCGATTCGGAGTTCACAAATGGCGTACGTACTCTTAAAAAGTTAAAATCATATTGTGAACTGCATATGTAAACGAGTTGCTGCTCGCATTCAACTGAACTCCGTTTGCTCACTATTTGTACTGTTTGTCGCCCCGACATATGCAGTCTTCAGTCATCTACATGAGAGGTCAGAGGATATGGGATGCTATCATCGCCGATCTCCTCACCAAAGGCCTCGCCAAAGCCAAAAAGGTTTCTGCAGATCTCATCAGCACTAGTCTATATACTTTCTGCGTGTTTTTCACTAATGCTAGGCTTTTACTTAGTGGTGGAGTTTCAGTTAGTAGCACAAATCACTCTACAAGACATGTAGTTGTGTAATTGTTAAGTCGATCATGGTTTTGAGCAAATCTGAATCCAACAGGTGCTGCTCTCAGGATGCTCAGCAGGAGGCCTAGCTACATTCTTCCACTGCGACGACCTCGGGGAGCTTCTCGGGGGCGTCGCCACAGTGAAATGCATGAGCGACGCGGGGTTTTTCCTTGATGTGTAACGCTGGAACTAATCGATCAATGAGTTTACTTTTGGAAGGTTGAGCTTTTGGTCAAATGTGTTAAACTTATGTCATTTTTCAGGGATGACATTTCCGGCAACAACAGCATTAGACCTTTCTTTAGCAGCCTAGTTGCTCTGCAGGTTATTTGCATCAGTAAACCTTCTCTTTACACACTGATTTGGCTTAAGATATTTGAGAGTTTTTTCAAGTATGTTTTGATTTTATTTTCTTAATTTTGATGTAGGGAGCTGAGAAGAATTTGAACAAAGACTGTCTAAATTCAACACTCAGTCCTTATCTGGTCAGATCTCTTTTCGTTCCTACTATCCTTTCAGAGCATTGAACCACATTATGGGCACTTGAGTTTTACTGATCATACTTTCCACCCCTCCTGTGCAGTGTTTTTTCCCTCAATATGCACTTCAAAACATTAAAACCCCATATTTCATCTTAAATTCAGCGTACGATGTATATCAGGTAATGGAATACGTTGTACCAGTCAATATTTTTCACCAGCTGACCACTAGTAAAAATATTATCAATTTTTGGCAGTTCCATCACATCTTTGTGCCTCCTTCGTCTGATCCTAGGGGTCACTGGAGTCGCTGTAAGGCGGACCCCAGTGCATGCAGCACATCACAAATTGCAACTCTCCAAGGTTACAATCAGTGCTTTATACAAATCTTCGCTACATGTATCAAACGAGCGGGTGTAAAGTTCTTCATTGAGTTACTGTCTTGAGGAATTTGTCTGCAGGCCTAAGAAGTGCAATGTTAACAGCACTCAAACCGTTTGAAGGTGAGCCGGAGATGGGCATGTTCATCAATTCTTGCTTTGCACATTGCCAGAGCGAGCTGCAGGACACATGGTTTGCGCCGAATTCCCCAACACTGGACAATGAGGTACTAATAATTGATGAGGTTAAGTTGTATGCTTGTGGCCTTTTAGTGATGCATGGTGTTTTCATGAAAATCATTTTGGAGTTTCAGACAATTGCAGAGCTAGTCGGTGATTGGTACTTTGAAAGGGGTGCTGCCCAAGAAATCGACTGCGCATATCCCTGCGACTCAACTTGTCACAACATTATACCATCTAATCAGGTAAGTTAATGGGAAATGCAAGTGCACATGCAAGGGTGGGTGTTTGAGTTTGGGGTCTATCTATGCAGGGTATATCTGTTCATATTTTCCCATGATATTTTGCAGGTCGGCATCTAGTGGATACAATGTGTTGTGTAGGTTGGTTCATAGTGTTCTTCAACTCAATACAAGAAATATTGGCAAAATTTTACAGTGTATTGCTAAGTTCATCATATATACTACAAATATATAGAAGAAATAGCTTGGATGCCCAGCATGGAGGTATCATGTTTCGGGTTCAAATCCATCATTTCCATGTCTCTACATTTGCTTTCTTTGGTCCATTTTCTTTAAAAATCATTCTTTGATATTGGGACTGTCTATTTAACAGTTGACTGAATTTCAATCGGTATTCATCTTTTTTTAGCCAATCATAAACCAACAACTGTATGCATTTGTTCCCCGTGTATGCCAGCGATTCAACTCTTTTTTTGAGAGAGAAATGTAGATATTTCACATGCACTCCCTCCGTCCGAAAATACTTGTCCTAGAAATGGATAAAATGGATGAATCTATAACTAAAATAAGTCTAGATACAACCATTTCTAGGACAAGTATTTCCGAACGGAAGGAGCATGTATGTATGTATGTATGTCAAAACCTGCCAAAAACTACTTAGCGGGTTTTAAAATTCTTGATGGATTGAACTGGACCCTGGTTGATTGCAATACGGCCTATACCCAAGAAGGGCTGCCAAGAAAAGCAAAGCATGCAGAGGACAAATAGGCCTGTACCAACACCTGAGAACACAAAAAAGAGCAATAAAAAGCCCAAGAAGAATAGCTGGTGGAAGAACCGAAAATCAACAAGAAAATAACAAATTCCATAACATATTCTAACATTAGAGCAAGGGAGGGCCTTGGCCCCCCACCCCCTTTTCCTTATTTAGTAAATATACATAGTATTCAGACACATATATCACATGCTTTTTTAGACAAATTTTACCAATGGTTCGTGCCGTTCTAGATGTGTTGTTTGCTTGGCCACATGGGACACTGGAAAAGGATCTAGTCTTGAGGATCAGCGGACAGTGGGTTATCAATCACCACTGTCTGATGAATGAGCCCAAAGGGCCAGAGGTTATGCCCACCACTCTGGTCAGGTCAGTGTACAGGATGTGAATATAACAAAGGCAGAGTCATCTGTTTTCATCTTTGACAGAACCCAGTTCAAGTTATTACAAATTCAATCATAAATACGAGTTCATCTTTAGTACTATTGCGGATACACCTGATGTCAAGTTTTATGACTACAGACCAGCCGATCCAATCAAGAACTAACAGTATGTTTCACCGTTTAATCTAGTTACGGAGTAAAATATCACCGACCCAAACACCCAACTGTTTGATGCACTCCATCAGGGGGAATCACTCTACTTCAAACATCCCAGCTGATTTAAAAGTGCATCAATTTAAATAATTGTAGGGAGTATTTAGGCAGAAATGTCACATGATTATTTAGATTTTTACCAATGATTCTAAAATTCCGTCAATTTAAATACCATTATGGCAATTATAGTAAAGAAAACAGTTAATGGATATGGCCTACCATTCTTCTGCGATGATATAAATAGGGGATTTAGGTGTTTCGGAAATGAGAACAAAGCCGATTCCAATCAAAACAGGAAAGACTCCATCAAACTAAGGATCCTATGTTATTACATTGTAAGTGCACCTCTTTGGTTCTTAAAATGATAGGACTAGGAAATTGGATTTCATGGCACATGCCATTGTTGTTGTTGTGAAATTTTGCATGATTTGGGCTGAATGGAATTTTTTTCCTTTAAAATTGCAAGTAAAGTGGAGTATAAGAAAACTGTCTATGGTTTGACCCGCAAAAACAGACAAAAAAAACTGTCTATGGTTTACAATTCTCCACTCCAAGCAAGCTACACATGAAAACTTCCTAGGAAATATAATCCTCTATTTTGAAGGAAAAGGTATAATCCTCTAAAATATTTCCTTCAAAAAGAAATATAATCCTCTAAAATTAGAATGATATATTATGAATCAAAGCTGAAAATGAATTATGAATAAATTCACCGTTTCGTGTATATGGCCACGCATCGCACCCCGGTATGGTGCAATCAACATTTGTCGATAAATGATTGCTTACGTTTATATATTGCTGGTTGCATCGCAACACGTTTGAATCATATAGGAACAGGATGCAGAACCAGAGCTTTCAGATATCTGCAACTTTTAGGACTACTATTTTCTTCAGACAAAACGAACAGAAATAAGATGCAGCTTTCACAGAACCCATGGTTCTACACTAGTATATCTTAGTCCAGTAATTGATGTTCAAACCAGCCTACCAAAAGCAAGAAATTCATGTTCCAACTAGCTAGGCCTGCGATGCAAACATAGCCCTTTCATCCGGATCGATGGCCGGGAAGAACCAGAACGAGTCACCAGCGGTGAACTCGCCTTGCCGGTGGTGCATCTTCTTCTTCAGCACCAGCTTATCATCCGAGCCTTCATCCACCCACGATTCCGCCCAGAACCACGCGAGCCCAACGCCACAACCGCCCACGTCAACGAGACTCAACGACGGCTGGTGCGCGAACAACAGCATGCCAGGCGGCCGGCCCGACGCCGCCGGCACAGAGGCCGAGCACCCGCGGCCCAAAAGCAGGACACGGTCCCCGCGCACGCGGTCCTGCGTCCACACCTTCTTGTCCCAGTCCAGCCTGAAGAGCGCGACGCGCGCGTTGTGCTCGTCCGCGAGCACGAGGTGGACGTGCCGGAGCGACTCCACGAGGTAGTGGCGCATGCTGCTCTCGCCGAACGGGAGCTGGCACGCCGTGTTCCGGCGCTCCACCTTGGGCTCCGGGTCCGCGAGGTCCGCGCGCCAGACCTTCCTCCTGCCGTCGACCAGGTACACCATGGCGCCGACGGTGACCATGTCGCTGGCGGCCGGGTCGTAGCGGAACCCCGGGGCGTGCAGGGTGAGCCACCCCTGGTCCTGCTGGCCGGGGTGGCAGTAGGCGACGAGCCTGTCCGTGGCGAGGATGAGGAAGCACGCCCGGCGGTCAGCCGGCGACGACGTGAGCGCGGCGTGGAATCGCCCTTCGGCGTTCTTCTCCTTGAACGGCCAGGACAGGACCAGCCGCGCGCCGGCGACCGGGTTGGCGAGGACGAGGCGGCGCGGCGCGTCCAGGGAGACGAACACGAGCCACCCGCAGGCGGAGGACGCGACGCAGCGATGGTAGCCCTCCCCCGGGACATCGTACGCGTAGGGCCGCCCCCCGGGGATGTCGTAGAACTGGCGGCGCACGTTGGCCGGCGCGGGCGCGGACTGCGAGGCGGAGGCCGGCTCCGGGAGCATGAGCCACGGGAAGGGCGGCGGGCGGCGGCCGAGGCGGCGGGAGAAGAAGCGCCACGCGCGGCAGACGAGGCGGAGGCGGAGGTGGTCGGCGAAGGTGATGTAGGGGGCCACCGAGGCGAAGATGCGGTCGCCGGGGAGGACCCCCCTAGGGTTTTTCCCCGGATCGCGAGGCGCCGCCGCCATCGCCCAGCGTCGTCGAGGCGAGCGACCCATGCAACGCAAGAGGCGGGCCGGTTGGCTGGTTGGTTGGCTCGATCGATCGATCGATTGGTCTCCGGGAAGCGCACGCGCCGCAACGATTTATGTATGATCTGGCGCCGCAATGCCCATAAATGCATCGGATTTATTTCGTCAGATTTGGGCTTGTTTAAAGAAAATCTTACTAGTATTGATCCAGAATATTTACCAGTTAATGCATCCTATCGCCTGCCGCGTCTTCAGCTTCAGCTTTCGGTTCCCAGTGATTGATGCCATAATTTGATTTAAATCTCTGCAATTCGTAGTAGCAAAACATAGGGGGAAACCAATTATGAGCGTTTTCGGTTCTCATTTGCGTCCAAAACATTGCTCGCGACCCGTCAGCTCTGATGTCATCCAACGGCTGAGCGTCCTCCTTTCATTGAAACAGGGGTAATGTTACATAACCCCGATAAACGATGATCATACTGATTTGGTGAGCTATGCCCCACCAACAATTCAAAATTTTGCTTGAAGAGTTGCTACATATTCGTTAACTACATGGCAAAACAAACATTTGAGAGGGTTGGAGGTTTCAAGCACATGTCCAGTTTATGATTTGGAACCAGAGAATGCTTTTCATGCATTATGTAGATGATCTATGGTTGTGTCTTTGTGGTTGAAAATGTCTGAAGTATGGAGATTACATGTGCTTTTGTTGATGTCCAACATACAGTTAGAGCATGGCTTCTTTGGTCCTTGAACCTTTTGGTTCGTATTGATAGGCTGGTGACTGTTTAGGCATGATCGAAATGAAGTGGTGCATGAAAAACCCGCGCCACCACTATAAATATCACAAACGTTCTTATTTAGCTACCTCGAGTCACTGACTGCGGTGAAGTTAAACTCTACAACCGATCCTATTAAAGGAGCGGTAATCTTTTTTGATCACCACCCTGAATCCTCACATGCGTCCGCACACAAGGAACCTCTTGTGATTAAACATGATGATAGTCCCAAATGGTACCTACCAGTGAAAGGTTGCCTGAAGTTGAATGTAATGGAGCTTTTGTCTTGGAAGGAACTACGGGAGCAGGTATGGTTATGAGGAACAACTCTGGAGGAATGGTGTCTTCAGTTTACAAACAATTATTCTTGTGTCGTAAGGCTCTTGAAGATGAACGTTGTGCTTGTATGGGGGGTTATCTTTTGCTCTTCAGAGATGTGACTCCCCAATTACAATTGAATTTGATTCCTTACCAGTTGTGAAGATGATCCAAGCACGTAAGTGGATAGATTGGTCTACGCCTCTCTCGCCAAGGTGATCAAGCATCTCATCACTATTGCAGGATGCTGCTAACGCGACACTACGACCGGAGACCCTTCGAGAAACTGTGTGCGATGCAATAATCGCAAACGGTGTTGTACGAAAACCATCAGAAATGTTGCAAAACGTTTGCAATGAATGATACATCAAACACGGTTCAGATTATAGTTGCGTGTGCGATGAGGGGCATACGGTTGATCTGTACGAACTGTTTGCAATGAGACAGAACAACAAAAATGGGCAGCCAGATCAAGGTGTGTGCGATATACGGCATACAGTTCACTCCGATGAACCGTTTGCGATGAGTGAGGTGAACACAAACGATTCGGCGTAACAAAGATGTGTGTGATACCCGACAAACAGGTCGGTAATCGAAATTGTGTGCGATCATTATAGACAACCCATACGATCTTTTTTTTGTGAATTGTGTGCTCGTCAGGGCACACAGTTCAACAAACCAACCCGTTGGCGATAATGTAGAAGATCTCTGTCGAATACATATTACTAACCGTCTGCGATGAGATTGACAGGATAAACAGAGATATATACAGTCTGCTTAATTTAGTCCTTCTTCTTCTTGTTGTTCTTGTTGGATGGCCCCACGACATCGTCTTGGAAAGGATGCTTCTTGCTGCTGACCGTTGGCTTTTCGTCACCGCCGCCGTCGTCATCGTCGTTGCTGTCGTCGTCGTCCTCCTCCTTGTTCGACCATTCCTCCTCATCATCATCGTTGTCCTCCGACGACTCCTCGTCCGTCTGGTTGTCGTCAGACGACTCCGGAGGCGGCGTCCCTTCCATGAATCGGATATAATCAAGGTCTGGGCTCGACGCCGGACTCATGGAAGACGAGCAGGATGATTCCGATGTTGACCTATCATCGGGCGCCAGACTGCTGGCCGAACTGTCGTCCTCGCTATCGCTCGACATGGCTGTAGAGTGTGTGTGCCAGTGTGTAGCGCGGCCTACCGGGGATGATGAAGATGGTGGAGACTTAAGCGGGGTATGTAGAGAAGAGGAACTCCCAATTGAAGCGGGGTTTGACGTATTATCTAACCACTGATATAATCAACCGTAATTATTTGTATCCAGTCGCTCCAAATTCCCGGTGTTGCGCATGACTCCTATTGGCTATTTGGCTGGTTTCCTTTTTCGGGACAAAAACAAGGAACGAGTTTTGGGATTATGCACCGGTACCGATACGAATGGAGTAGGACATTTGGCAAGCAATACAATGAGCTCTTCTTATTGATAAAGCCAGTAATAATCAAACTAGAAAGGAAAAGAAAAAAGACAAAGAAAAATATCTACACAAATCTTCGCGTAACATCAATGGCATATATAGGACCTAGATGTGCATTACTTAGAGCACATCTAGATGTGCTTTAGCAATAATGTCAAACAAAACCCGTAATCATCATTGCAAACAACGCATAGAACATGGCTAATGCGACAACCACAACTACACATGCTAGTTCCTTCTTGTCTCTTGCTTTCATCTATTGCTTCATCGTACTGATTGTACATTCCAGATCATTTAGTTTCTTCTCCAGCTTTACGTTATCTTCTGCGAGCTTGGTGATAACACTCCGATCCCTGCCATGCCATTCTTCATCCAGCCAGTTAACAAAGGCACAAGCCTCATATCCCTGCCAAATTTGGATGAGCGGTGGCATTAACTGAAGTAAAATGATAAACTTAATTAGCACTAACATCTAAGGGGCAACTGAGAAACCGCCTGCCAATGTCGAATCCCTCCGTGCATACACGTCGAGCGGGAGTGTACCCGTGCACACAACTCAGCTTTTGGTACTTCTCGGTGGCGCAAAACTCGGAGTCGAACTCGTGTTGCGGGAGTCTGGAGTCAAGCTCCGGATCCGGCGGTAGATCGCTTTCCTAGGGGGGTCATTCAGGACAGATTCAGCAAGGAGCCATACTTTGGACATGGTAGAAAAGATTGGGCTAGATTGGAACTTGACATGACGATTCGGATCCATAGTACACCTACCTTCTGATGACCTTAGGCAAGTGCTCGCGGTGACCGCTGTCGTGGCGGTGATACGAGCAGGAGTAGCCGCACCAAAACCATCAGCACCACTCGCCTGCATTCCCCCAATGTCAGCGCCACGCGAGGGAATTTGGAGGCTATGTAGGGATTTGGGGGGAAATGGGGAAACTGTGGAGATAAGCTAACGGTCGGGAACTACTAATGGCACTATATATATGTTGTATATATATGACACACTGTTTGTACATGTTGTTTGTGTTAGGTATTACAACGTCACACACGTTTTTCGCACCAAGCCGTGTGAGAAGACAACGTAGGTTAGACACGGCTGCCGTTACATAACCGTATGTGATGTACTACCCTGTCCATTGAGTTACGGTGAGATACCGTGTAAACAGCCGCTCCACGGATATCCATAAACAAACAACCGCTCTGCATATAGAGATGGCGGCAGGGGCCTAGGCAACGGCTACCAGAGAAGAGGTCAATCCTCGGTCGGTGGGCGGTGGCGGTGTCATAGGAGGTCAATCCTCGTTTTACGGCGGGAGATAGGAGGAGCTCAACCATCAAGGTCAGCGGTGGCGTGATTCGAGCACATCCATCTCGGTCAATGGCGGGATAGTGGAGGTCGAACTTCAGGCGGCAACCGCACTAAGGTTTGCTCCTCGACTCTGTTGTCTCGGCGTGCCGCCGTACCGCGCTTGTTTGTCTGCTGGGTGGAGGTCGCTGCACGGCTAGTAATTAAGGTATTCTTTTCGTGAGTGGCTACATTTAGGTATTCAATTCCTAAGTGTAGTGTTTGTTGGAAATATGCCCTAGAGGCAATAATAAATTAGTTATTATTATATTTCCTTGTTCATGATAATCGTTTATTATCCATGCTAGAATTGTATTGATAGGAAACTCAGATACATGTGTGGATACATAGACAACACCATGTCCCTAGTAAGCCTCTAGTTGACTAGCTCATTGATCAATAGATGGTTACGATTTCCTGACCATGGACATTGGATGTCATTGATAACGGGGTCACATCATTAGAAGAATGATGTGATGGACAAGACCCAA